AACCGAAAACTTAAGTATTTAATATTTATGTTATTAAATAATAAAGGTACAATGTACGTGACAAAAATAGCAGCAGCAATAAATCAAATAACCATGCGCAGCCAAGCAAGTGTTACTTTATTGTTTTAATTCTTTATAAAATAGTTTTAATTTCTAAATTTTAATTTATAATTTTGTCTGATAAGTGAATTGTGAGTTTAATTTGTCTACCGATTAATTGTAATAAATTATAGCCAAAATTAATTACATATTAATCACAAATAAATGTAATAACACCTTGGTCATAGCAATTAATTTTATATAATCTATGCTATTTTGTTGTGAAACTATTTGATATTTAAGAACTGATTAGACTGTGTTATGACTACATTCTCTCTATTTGTAAATTATGTTAATGTTTTAAAAACAGCAAAAATAAACTTAAAAAACATTCACATATTATATTTCAATCGAGTTTTTGTCAGTAATTACTGGCAAACAGTGAAATCGTTGAGTGAATCATAAAACTTAATAATAATAATTAATTAAAACAGTTATGCATTTATTTAAATAGTGCGTTTATTATAGAATATTCAGTAATAACTTAAAACATAAAATATTTTAGTTCATTATTATTTCTAAATAAAATGGATCCCGATGCTGACGATAGCTTGGACCAATACAGAATTGTGCCTGTTCAAATAATTACTATTGAACGGGTAGAGGGCACCGATCAATCCAGATATATCTTAAACAAACATGCTTTGGATCGACTACTGGCCAAAATCGGTGACCTGAAAGTGGCCCTCATTTTCAATGTTGGCACTCAAGGAGAGGGCAATTCATTTCTGCTCAATAAAGTCGGCCGACATATCATTAACTCTATGAGAAATGGTGTGACTTTGGGAACGGCAGATGAACAGGACGTGGACTACGATATGGGCGCCGATATAGAAGTTTTGGAAGATCCTAACGACCCGTTAATCGGTAATTAAAGTTTAATATTTAATATTTTCTTTGTTTTACAATTTTATTGTTATCATTAAAAGTTGTTATTGTTATCACACATTTTGATCTCTCTCTCTCTCTCTCTCTCTCTCTCTCTCTCTCTCTCTCGTATTTTTACTATTTTTAATTTATGTGGTAAACAATTTATGAAATACCAAATAAATGTTCATAATTAACTTTAATGTGTTGGCAAACCTGATCCGTTAACACTTCAATTTGTTGCCCGATTTATACGATAGGGTTTGAGTGGAATACAGACCCAAATGAGACCACAACGAGAGGTATTTGGTTTTCGCAGCCCTTTATTGTCAGCAAAACCGGTGGCGAAGAAGTGGCCATTATTTTGGTGGACACACAGGGCTTAGATGGCGACGACTGCACACCGCAGGACATGTCAACCATTTTTAGCCTCAGTCTTCTCAGCGCATCCAGTCTTGTATTCAACGTTACAAATGGTCTGAGAGATAATGTATTGACGGAAATGCACTCGTATATTGACCACTGCCTACAGGCCATCGAGAACAGCACCGGTAGTGTTGGTCATCCCGGCAACGATCGCAAGTATTTTCAAGACTTGGTATGTGTTTGTCTATACTTAAGTATAATCAAGGTTAATAAAATAAATGTTCTACCTTAATCAGGTATTTATGATTAGAGACTGGAGTAAACCGAAGCCGCCGTACGGCTACGGACTGGAAGGCGGACAAAATTTTTTGAACGGCCGGTTGGAGACCAGTGCCCGACAGCGCGAGTCGGCCCGCAATACCCGTCAGTTTATACGCGACTCTTTCGGAAACATTCAGTGCTTTTTAATGCCCGATCCGGGAGTGAACGCCCGGAGCCAAGAGTTTAATGGCTCTCCCAATGAACTGACCGATGATTTTAATGCAAATTTGAAAGACTTTTGCAATTTTCTCGTAAATCCCGATACGATTCAAGTGAAGACAATTAATGGCCAACCGATCACTGGTGACGAGTTTGGCCGGCATTTCGAGAATTATGTAAACATGTTTAACAGTGAATCGGGTCCACGAATCTGCGATGTCGTTGAGTCCAATCATCGGGCCTACGATAATAATCTTATTAATCAACTTAAGGTAACTTATTTATCACATTAATTTATTATAGCAATTTTATTCATGAATAAGTATTTTGATATTAAGTAAATAAACAAGTGTATTTAAATTTCACTAGTATTAACAATATTGTTTAATAATTATACAACTAGTTTAAAAATATGCATAAAAATAGCAAATATCTAAACCCGATTTGTTCATAGCATCGATCGCTTACTGTATAAACAAAATATAAAAATTATTTAATAAATTATAATTATTTTTAGGACAAACACACAACAGAATTGTCAGCCATAATGACGGGCAGGCCTTTCCTCGGGCGCCGACAACTGACCAATCAGGCCGACGACTCAATCAATTCATTGATATCAGAGTTCGGGTTCCGTAAGCGGTCGACCGCCGAGTCTGTGGTGCGGGAACTGACGGATCAGTTGTCCCGCACTCTGCTCGCAGTCTTCGAGCAGAAACGGGAGGAGAATGAGATGCGACGGCTGACGGCCACCAACGATAAGGTCACTGAATTGGTCAACGAGTTTAAGCAACATATTAGCGGCCATATTAGGCCGGGTGACTATCTATCCGATTATACTCTGGGTAAAATTATTGATACGAAAAGGGAACATACGATGAATTTGTTTGACGCGTTCGCCGCCGATGACCCTGATCAATTTGCCGAACACAAGCGCCGGGTTTGTTAACTATCTTAATATTCACTGATTTGTTTGTAAATAATTTTTTGTTTTTTGAAAATTAGTTATTAAATCAATTGGAAAGCGAGGAAAACACGTTTAAAAGCAATAACAGTCGAGCGATACAAGAGTTGATCACTCAGTATGAGAGTGTACTTACCTCGCTCAAAACTCAATACGACCAGGTTTGCAATTATCTATTGTGTCATATTATTATAAACAATATTAATTTTCTTGATTTACTAACTATATAGAAAATGAATGAGCTATTTGTAGACCAGGACAAATTCTACACTGAAGAGCACCTGGACACACTAAGCGCTACCATATTGAGTTCATTAGTTAATGAGCTAACCCAGGCTGATGTGGACACAGAAGTGGTACCTATTGTGCCCTACAGACAGGCGTTGGACACATACGTGAGGGACAGATACCGGGGCTATAAAGAGAATAACAGGCACCGCACCGATCAGGACAAGTCCGCTATGAATACAGTGCTAAACAATCTGAACAAACTATACGAAGAAGCGTTGGACGCGTGGATCCAATGCACCGACACTGAGGAGAGGCGTCGGTTTCTGGACGAGAGTCGACACATACGCACACGTATTGTGTCGGAAAATATGCCGATATATAACCACCGACTGGATCTCCTGGAGCTGAACGCCCTCTTCGACGCCACCGAACGCGAGATGCAGGACGTGTTCGTCGAGGCGGTGGACGAAAGGCATCGGTTGATGAAAGCACTCGCCGAACGCGCGATGCAATGGTATAACCGGGAGATGACCAGAGAGTACGGCGACCGGCCGTACATACGGCTGGACAGGTTGGGCGCCATTCACGAGGCGCTGGTGGCCGGCGCGTTGGCCAGATTTCAAAACGACCGTGGTCATATATCGATAGACAGGTACAACGAGCTGATACGCGAGAAACTTAAGCTTACCTACGATAGAGTGATCGACGAGAATAACCGCAACTGTCCCACTATACCGGCCATTGGCATAGATCTGGGCACTACTAATAGCTGTGTAGCTTATTATAGACCAGGTCGTCCAGGTCAACCGGGTAAAATTGTCGTGTGCCGTACCACAAATACTACCCGTACTAATGAAGTGACCCCGAGTTGTGTTGAGTACAGAGACAACGAGGAGGTAGTGGTGGGCGAAGAGGCGAAGGATAATCTGTTGGCCAATCGCCAGAACATTATCTATTCGGCCAAACGTTTGATTGGCCGCCCGTTTAATGATCCCGACGTTACCAGATATAGACAGTACTGGCCTTTCGATGTCGTCGATATGGGCGACGGCGCGGCCGGCGTTGAGGTGGAAGTGGACGGCGAGTCGCGGCAACTGTTGCCCGAAGAGGTGTCGGCCGAAGTGTTGCGCAAAATGAAAGCGATAGCCGAGCGTGACTTAGGTCATCAAGTGGTCGACGCTGTCATCACAGTTCCCGCCTATTTCACGGACGCCCAGCGCGAGGCCACCCGCGGCGCAGGCGTTATGGCCGGTCTTAACGTACTGTCCATTATTAATGAGCCCACGGCTGCCGCTCTGGCTTATAAACTCGACCGATTTGAGGACATGGGTACCAAGTAAGTTTTGTGTATTTGCATATTTGAAAATAATTTAACGGTATTTAATACATTAGTGTAGATAATAACGTTAACTAATACTTTATTATAATTCACATTTTAATTATTAAAATATAACTGATAGTTTAATTAAACAAAGTAAACATAATTTATACTAATTAATATGATTAAAGAACCGTGCTTATATATGATTTTGGTGGCGGCACATTCGACGTGGTAATATTGCGCCTATCTATTGGTGAAGTGAAAGTGTTGGCCGTCGGCGGCGATAACAAACTGGGCGGAGACGATATCGACCAGAATATTATCGATCACTGTTTGCGCGAGTTTTACGCTCAGACGGGCGTTATGTTGGACCGGAACAGCGTTGAGGGCGATCGGGCCTATCGGGCGCTCAAAGACCGCTGCGAACGGGAGAAGTGGCGTCTGTCCGAAGCGACTGCGGCCACCATAGCTGTTGATAACATAGCCGAGGGTCATGACCTACTGGTAGAGTTGACCCGCACCGAGTTTGAGACATTGAACATGGACATTTTTGACCGCACTATGGACTGCGTGAACCGTACGCTGGAAAGTGTCAACGAAGGCGCCGGTATGACACCCGAAGAGATCGACGATATAGTACTGGTCGGCGGCTCGACGTATATTCCGTACGTTAAGGATATGATTAGACGGCACTTTAATGGCCGCCAGCCGTCGCAGTCGGTGAACCCGATGCTGGCCGTGGCTGAGGGCGCGGCACTGCAGGTGATTAATTTTTATAATACATAAATTTAACTTTTGTAAACTTTTAAAGTGGTAAAATTATAATCTATCACAACATTTAATAAATTTTATTAATTAATATTTATTGTTTTTAATAACCAGGCTGCAATACTGAACGGCAACCAAGCGCATCTACACCGTCACTTACGGGTACTGGACGTCACACCGCACACGTTGGGCGTAAAGTCCAGGGGAGATGTGATGAGCGCTATCATACCGGCCCAGTCGTCGGTGGACGGCGTGCCCCGCACTCGAGTCTACGCCACGGTATGCGACAATCAAACCGAGATCGAGGTGGAGGTGTATGAGGGCGAAGACCCGGTGGCCACTAATAACACCCCATTAGGAAAGTTTGTTGTGATGAATATACCGCCCGATGANCTATCATACCGGCCCAGTCGTCGGTGGACGGCGTGCCCCGCACTAGAGTCTACGCCACGGTATGCGACAATCAAACCGAGATCGAGGTGGAGGTGTATGAGGGCGAAGACCCGGTGGCCACTAATAACACCCCATTAGGAAAGTTTGTTGTGATGAATATACCGCCCGATGAGGCGGGCAAACAAAACGTGTCAGTTCAGTTTTGCGTCAACGACGATGGTATTTTAAAAGTGACGGCAACTGTGCTCTCCCGGGGAGCACAAGGGGCTGTCGAGTACGAGGTGGCCGAGTATAAGGGCCGCCTGTCCACTGAAGAGCTGTTCCGGCGCCGCCATTGATTGTGATATGTTTTTTGTATCTAAATTTTGATAATTATTAATACAACGAACTTTTATTATATTTAAATTATATTTGTTATTTTGAGTAAACTTGCGTTTTTAGCATTTCATAAACTGCCCTTGGTTGATTATTTGTAAAAAATGCTTAAATAGTTTATTTCTATAAAACCGTTTAATATAATTAATATCTTAATTATGAAAATTTATACTTTTTAATCGATTTTATAAACATTTTAATGACAATTTTATTTCACTATAATAATTGTATTGAATATGTTTTCCATAATTTAATTATGACCATTTTACTTTATTTGTAAATAAATTGTTTTATTAATAATTAAAATATAAAAAAAATATTGATTTTGTTTATATTTTAATTAAGTTTGCTTATATTTTCTGTACTGCTTAAATTACAAAAACAAAACCCTGAGTTCCCACATATAATTTCAATGCTTTAAATCATCAAGCTTCTGTTCTCAGCCTAACTTGCTCATTTACATCATCCAACTGTCGCTGATATCCATCGATCTCTTCTTTGGTCGTCTCGCGGACTGACGACAAAAAGCGCTCAAAAGGGGACAACTTATTGACCAGATCTGCCTTTTGGGACACCTGTAGGCCGTCGACCGCTCGCTTAGTCCGTATATAATTAGAGGACAATTTGTTTTTAAGGACTCTCATTTGGTCGCTCAATAGGGGAACCCTTCTGGGCGTTGGCGCTGGTGTTGGACCTCCAGGTGATGAACGAGGAGCTGTCCCACCCATCGGTGCATTTTGATGGCCAAACTGTTTGCTGAGCAACAGTTTATTAAAATGATCGTCGGGTGGCAGTTGTGTTGGCATAGAATCAGACTTTACTTGAAAACTGTTGGCCACCCGTTGGCGCCGGAACGCCCCGGTGGGTGAACCTGATTGAAAATATTAGTTGACCATACAGCTGATTTGTTTTAATCTCGTTACTTACCTCGGTATGTTGTACCGTTGCCATTGTCAACAGCCAGTGCGCTAACATTATACCTGCCGGCGCCGCTATAGTCGGTAAAGTAAGCGTAATAATAGCCCTGCTTGTGAAACAAATTTAGCTGATGGTCAGTCTGAGTCCCACTCGGTCTGTCCACAGATGCTGTTACTATAGCGCCTACTATCGGGTCATTACCTTTACATAACCTACAGACCACAAGTGGTGGGCAGTTGTCCTGTGATTGTCTTAAAAATACTTGCAATTCAATGGCTTGAGCTCTGGTAAGGTTGTTCTCAAACACCAGATGCGCTCTAACAGGAGTTGATATCCGTTTTGTTAGTTTTATAGTCCAGAGACCCGATTCAGTCGACTCCAGGTATAGTCTGCACTCTTTCTGGTCCAACCGTTTGGCTATTTGTCCGCCACCTGTAGAGCTATAGACGACACCCGACGGGCCGGTGATGTCTACGTCGATGTCTTTGATGGCTTCGGAGCGGATCTGTATTTGAGTGTTGCGTCCGATGTCGGCCTCAATGGGCACTCGAGTCTCATATGTATTACCACTTATGACTACTATTTCATTGACAACAGTATGAGTGACCACTTCTGCCATCTCTTTACTGGTGATAACCTCTTTCATCGCGGCCTCCATTACGCGGGCCATCATTTCACGGCTCTCGGGGTCCGTACGGCTCAGGTTGTAGACGAGACCCCCGGTGTCGGCCGACAGCTTCTCTAATCGCTGATCAGCGCTCACACCGATTGCTAAACAATACACTTTTATCTTAATTATTAAATAATAATTATTTTGTAAATTTGCTTATAACTTATGACATACAGTATAAAGGGTACAAGAAAGGTTTTACATTAAACGGTACAAGAAAGCCATGTAAACTAACCTTGGCATTTAACAAATGAGGCAACACATTGGCCACATAATTATGACTTTTAGTGTCGCCGCCATCGGTGGCCAGAAATATCTTCGCCCCATTGGTGTCAACACTGGCGCGACTGAACACAGACAACGCCTCCATAATGCCGGCTCCGATATCAGTGGCGCCATCAGATATACGGACGGGTACGGCGGCCATAAGTGTTTGCCTCATGGACTGGTTTGTGACCATGGTCAATTCATGCACAGTGCGGGCTCCCTCTCCAAACACCACAATACCCACATAATTGCCATCATTTATTTTGTTAATACAGCGCACGGTCTCCGTGTGTAGTGTATTAATTTTTGGGCCGTTCATACTGCCCGACACATCCAACACAAACACTGTCCGCTCACACATTACTTATGATAAATTTATTAATTAATCTGATTCACAATTTATAAGTTACGCTTATTTTATTCACTTTAATTACTGATTGTTCTTTACGACAGTTTACATAAAAATTATGTTTTCTATTTAACCATGAGAATTTAATAACTCTTATATTTTTTTGAATAAAATAGTTAAATACAAAATATAATTAAATTTATATATTTATATTTTATATGTGTCATAATGTAAATTATTGTATTTTAATATAAAATATGATTGTAAATGCTATTTCCTTCTCTAAACTAAAGTCCATATAATTCATATAATATTTGATAAACAGTGAAATTAATGTTGATAAAACATTATCGGCTACAATTTATAGATATTACAAACATAAATACCAATTTCTTTATGAATAAACATTGTGTTTAGTATGCGCTGAATTAAAATAACATTTTACAAAATTTAATGTAAGTTATATAATCTATATAACAAGATTTTGATAATTTTGTTTTTACATAACTTTTCTTGACTTATTATTTTACTTTTACAGACATTGTATTTCATTTGCAACATAGACTGTAATTATAATTAGTTTAGCTATTGTTATAACTAAAAAGTAATTTTATTTACAAAACTTTTGTAGAATTTATGGATATATTTAAGTCCTAAGTTAATGTTTTACTAATTTATTTTTTAAGCATTTCAAAAAGACGCTGCTAGTTAATCATGTGTGTAAAACACTAAAAAAAACATTTGCTTTGTCTGTCTATTTAAAGCCTATTAAATTAAAATTTTACTGTATACTAGAGGATTGCCAGCACCCGAACTTTACACTAACATTTTGGACACAGATTTACACCCGAGTATTTAAAGTCGACAATATTATATGTAAATACAAATTGTTTAATTAGTAATTTAATAATTTATTTCAATATTCTTTATTATAATTGTTAAATTTGAATACTTTGTTTTAAACTATCATGATCGCAAAATAAGCTTGTCCCTTAACCTAAACGTGTTGATTATTTTAAACAATTCCAACCGCTGTTCCTCTACTCGTTGTCCATCTCTGGTCACAATTTGGTCGCATTCCCCGAGTTTGGCATAAAGTATACGCTTTTTGGTTGCAATTGTCTGACAGTCTGTGAGTCGGCGCCCGATATCGGCCACCAATTGGCGAAACTCACGGACAGACTCTTCGTATATGTCTACCGGTGTCTCAGAGCTGTTATCGCCGTCCGAAACACTGGACTCGATTGCTTGTAGAGGCACAGGGGGTTCGCTGGCAGTACTTTCAGCACTATGTTCAGTGAGATCATAAGCGGTAAAAGCATCAAGGGCCAACTTTTCATCATCAGTTAATTGATCATGATCACGACTGACCATAGTATGTTCCAACTTAAAAACAGACTGTTTATATTGTTTGCAAATATTATCATCATAATTATGGTTTATAAAAGTTGTGTGACTCATATTGTTTGTGTCGGTTGGAGTGTAATTATATTTCATAGAATTAGTATTGAGAGAATCAGTGGGCAAATTGACCGGTTTGATAAAACAGTCCAATAACTGGTCTTGCTCGCTAATTTGGGTCTCGGTCAAATTTAATTTGTATTCATAATTTTGGTCATTATGTTCACTAATATCATTGGCTTTGAATTGTATGTTTTGGCCGTTCATCCGTGCGATGAGAGTCTCTCTACATTTGACCGCTAAATGTTGCGGATATTTGTTACTAAACTCATTAAACGAACGCAGTATACGGGAGCGAATTATAAGCGCATCTCGATCATATAATGTATGATTTGGCCCACATGTAATGGCCAACACTTGTATTTTTTGATTATATTCATCAAGTAGTTCTTCAACAAAGGCATTTAGATTATTACCGCTCATTCGCTGGTCACGCTGCTCCGTTATTTGTGAATTACCATGGCCCATACTTATTGTTTAATAATTATCACTTATCAGAAATAATAATTCAAATAATAAGAACACACATACATTACATTGTACATTATAATCACAATAACAATATAGTATAAGAGTAAATGCTTATATAATAACGCATTAATAGTTTATAATAATTATAAACCAATTATTGACCACATGGTACCAACATAATTACCATCATTTATTCGGTTAATACAGCGCACGGTCTCCGTGTGTAGAGTATTAAATTTTACGTCAATCATACTTACCGACACATCTAACACAAACACTATCCGCTTACACATTATTTATGGTAATTTTATTAATTACTCTAATTCACAATTTGAAAGTTATACTCATTTTATTCACTTTGATTGTTAATTGTTTTACAGCAGTTTACATAAAATTATGGTTTTTATTTAACCATAAGAATTTTATAATTTTTATATTTTGTATTAATAATATCATAATAGTTAAATACAAAATATATTTACATTTAGAATATACATGTATGTTTAATATTCCAGATAAAGTAAATTATTATATTTTATTATAATATATTACTGTAGATGCTATTTCTATCACTAAACTAAAGTCCATATAATATTTGATAAACATTGATGTGACATTAATATATAATTGTCATTTTAAATAAAAAAAACAACACTTTTATTTCTTTATATATAATTTTCAGTTTTTGTTAAATTAAAATTGATTTTGTTGTGAAATTTATATCTTAACTCTTACACACATTAAATATAAATTATATTTTTAAATACGTTTACACTTGCAGTTATAATATGCTATAACAAAAGTATTTTTTAAAAGTATCTGTATTTTTACATGGTTTAGAAGTCTATAAGTTTTAACAGAAACCTTTGTGCATAATATAATTAGTTATTTATATAACCTTTACATTATCAACTTTATAAGTTAGCATACAGTACATAGCAAATCATAGCAAATATATAGATATGAAAACGTGAAATATATTAAAATATCAGATAGTTTTCGTTTCAACAAAATATATTTTAAATTGTTGACAATTTTTATTAATAAATAAAAATAAAATTGGATAACAATAATTATAATTTAAATTTTATTAAATAGGCTAGAGTAAGTGTGCTTAAAAATCACTTCTCAGTACTCCCAGCATAAAACCCTTGTGTTGTAATTTATACTCTATTCATATGTTACTCACATATACACTGTGTGTACTTGTAGTGTACTCTAATATTATAAGTGGGGTTTTAAATATTATTACTTAAAATATTTATTATGGTAATTAAAGGGCAAACAGTAACTATATTATGCGTAACGTTTATAATGAATACTTGAAAAAACACCTTGGTGATTCAATAACCACGTCATGTTTATAATATTCCCCGTTTCAACCTAAACCCTCTTAGGCTAGAGTAAATATGTGATATTATTAACATAGAGCAGTTACATTTGTAAAAGTAAGAGTCATACTGTATTATATGAGTGTCAAACTGTGTCTTATGGGCCATCACAAGCTGTTCCTGTTCTGACCACAATTGATTCCACAACAGTTGATGCCCATGGTCAACTTGGCCTGATTGTGATATATGTTTTTTATTTTTATACAGTTAATATTCCATATCTCGAACCCTCTGTAACTCGAAAACCTCTATAACTCGAACTATTTTCAAAGCCCCGATTCACTCCCATAGACACCCCATTATAAAAAACCTCTACAACTCGAACCTCTGTATTCCGAAACGGAAACTATTTTCACAGACCCAATACCTTTCACTGAACCTCCATTACTCGAATTTTTTACTCAATTGTAAAATATGTACACTTTATACAAATGTCTGTGATCTAAAAGTTACCATTTATTATCTATTTTTTCATAAATTGTAATTTTAATTCTAATTAATTTTGATTACAAAAATTGTATTCATAAAATGATGCATAGCAGCATAACATTGTCAATTAAAACAGAATCCTCTATAACTCGAACTTTTTTTTTGTAAATAATTCAATATTTTTCTATAACTCGAAACCCTCTATAACTCGAACAAACATTTGTGTCCCGACCCGTTCGAGATCGGGAGGTTTAACTGTATTTAAATTTTGATAATTATAAATACAACAAACTTTTATTATGTTTAATAAATATTTCTATTGAATAAATTTTTAACTATATTTATATAATTTATGTCTTAATTATAAAAATCTGTATTTTTTTGGTCTATTTTATATACTTTTTAAATGACAATTTTTAAAATGTATAAGATTTGTATTGAAATATTTTTAATAATTTAATTATGGTCATTTGTAAATAAATTGTTTCATTAATTTTATATTATTTAATCACATAATTTTATAATCAATTTCAAATAATTACCAAAAATTTAGACATTTTTGATTTAATTTGAAAAATTGATTCAAGGCTTGAATGAAGAGATTTTTCCAAAATAAATGAAAATTTAATAATTGAAAGCATTTTTGAAACTTTCGACACTTTTTGCCGAAATGACGGAAACGACAGATTGGCGTTGGTTTCGATGGAAACCAGTGAATCGGTGATTGTCTTGAGATCTCTTCGGTTACGAAGCGTTTCCACTGTTGACCGAAACGACAGAAATTGTGCTCTTTTTTCGTCCGGATTTCTCAAAACTTTTCTCTTTGTTCAGCGGCTGAAGAGACTGAAGGGTTGAGTCGTGTTTGCGGTAAAAGACGTATTCCTGGAGGAAGAAGAGGATGTCGTATGAGATGGAGGCGACCGACAGACCGAACTTCGCGAAGTTCCCGAATATCGTCTTCCAATCGTCTGCGAAAACACACAGTCAGTAATAGTTATGCTAATAGCTCTCTCTCTCTCTCTCTCTCTCACTCACTCACTCTCTTTCTCTCCCCAATCACTGAGACATAGATCCAGTGTCTCAATCCAATGCACACCCGTTACTGTGAATGCAAGTCATAAAACCATAAAAATGGTTAATTACTGTCCAAACAGTATTATGAATGATAACACGAATACTCATAAAAGTTAACGAAATAATCGTTTGATTTCCTTTTCATTTATAAACATAATTAGTTTTCAATGAATAGTGTATCCGATA